GATATGCTGACTCTGTAAACCGCTTAGAGAGGGCTGAAAGCCCTATGAAGCGGTATATAAGTCTAACTGCTATTGCTATTGCTATTGCTAGTATAATTTGATTGCTTATTAGTAACTTATGATTATCACTAAATGTTATATCTTATGATTCTTGATGAATCACAATCTATAATCTTTTCTTTATGTACACTGAGAGCATATACACCAGTGGTGGGTTCCAGATCGGCTGCGCCCACATGGATGCGCACAGCATGCATGCACACACACGCAGCGCATGCATGCATTTTAGTGCCTCTGCCAGGTGCCCTGAATTTGATCTACCTGCTACCTAACTAATGTTCTCCTGAAGTCCCAAATGTGATTTTTATGGATTGAAGAGCTGAAGAAGCTTCTTGGATGAGAAGCGAAAAGTCTTCAAAGAAAAACCAGAAAGTCCAGTTGCCTCTTGAAAAAAAGCACCTTTAGGACAACCAGGACCTGGATGACCGAGAATCTCCACAGACATACTCCAGAAGCAAATATTTTTCCATCTCCCTTGAAGACTGATCTCAAGCAATCCAACATTTTTTCTACTTTTATTTACCAAATTTTTCAGACGATAAGACACACCGGTGTACAAGATGCATCAAAATTTCAAAGAGGTTAAGTAAGAAAAGAAAAAAAAAGCTTTGGCCTTCCCTCAGCCCCCAGCAGCCCTCTGCAGACTTCAGCAGGGATGGGACAAGGCAAAAACTCCCCCCATTTTTGCCTTGCTCCAGCCCTGTTGAAGTCTGCAGAGAGCTGCTAGGGGCTGAGGGAAGGCAAAAAAGCCTGTTTTTGTGAAAAACGGGCTGTTTTTTGCAAAAACGGGATGCAGGATAGGGCTTCGGGAGGCCAAAAATGGCTGTATTTGGCATATAAGATGCACCAACATTTCCACGTTCTTTTAGTGGGGGAAAGGTGCGTCTTATACTCCCAAAAATATGGTAATCCCCAAGAAACCCAACCTATTTTGTCTGATGTCACAAAGGACCCCTTTTATGTATTGTAAGTGCTTCCATGACCCCTTTCTTGATCAGTGGTTGCAGACCTATGAGTTCCCCAAATCCTTGCAGGCAAATATGCCTTGCAATGTTTCTGCAACGTAGGATGAACTATGTAATCTTGTTGATTGCACTACAGAAGGAAAAGCTGAGTCTGGAAATTTTACAATGCGGGATAAAGAGAAGAACCTGAAAGGGGAAGATATAGATCAAAAATATGTCATTATTCCTAGGGTTTGCTCCATTCAGAAATCAGATCTTCCATACGGTTTCTTTTCCTACTTCTCTGCTGGTGACATGACTCAATGAAGGCAAATTTAAAATACCCGAAAAGCAACACATGCCAGAGATAAGCTCCCACTGTACAGCCCTCAATGTCTATAAGAATATTTCTTTGCTATTGTTCAGAGTCCCTCTTTCTTGTAAAGCAAATACCAAATGATCATTGCAATAATTATGTTTTTCTCAACATTGTGCTCCTTACTTCAGCACACACACACACAAAAATTCACCACAGTACCCAGAACTGGGCTTGCGTGTCCATCACAGTTTGTTTTTGTTAGTTGCAAAATCATGTCTGACCCATTGCAACCCCATGGACAACGTTCCTCCAGGCCTTCCTGTCCTCTACCATCCTCTGGAGTCCCTTTAAGTTCATGCCTGCTGCTTCAGTGACTCCATCCAGCCACCTCATTCTCCATCATCCCTTTCTTCTTTTGCCCTCCATCTTTCCCAGCAAGAGGCTCTTCTCCAGGGAGTCCTTCCTTCTCATTAGGTGGCCAAAGTCTTTGCATTTCCTCTTCAGGAT